TATATATATATATATATATATATATATATATATATGTATATAAATATAATACTGTATAAACAGTATGCTGTGTATAAACCTTCAAAAAATTATAAAAATGAAATACTAATGCTTTCATATGAAATGAAAATAAATCAATTCTTCATGTAACTCATTATCTAACATGAACTTATAAGTCATTATAAACAACAATAAAAACTCATTAAGCAATACATCTTAATCATATACATTAAGTGTCAAAAGACATCTTCATTTAACATACGCATATATTAAACACCTCAGGATGAATGAAGAAACATACTCCAAATGATATATTTTATATTAGCGAAGAAAGAAAACTCATATTATATACTCTTAACAGGGAATATAGTAGTATTTATTCATCAGTCGACATTCTTTTGTTATACGTCTAGTAACCTATATATTATTTGTAGGAAAACAAAATCCTCATACTTTATCTATCATAAATGTATTATACGAAAATAAACAAAATTATTCATTTTTATTTATTTATGTATGTATTTAAAATTATTTTATACTGGCTTAATCCAGTAGTGACTTCACATTCCTAATTAATTAATTAATTAATTTCATTCCTAATCTTTTCGAACAAACAAAGAAACAAGAATTAATTATTAATTTTTTTTCTTAATTAACTTGCATAATTAAAGAAATAAATTATGTTAATTAAGGTAAACTCTATTTATGATAATTTAAACTTTTGAATGGGATGAAAAGATTATCCGGGGGCTTTCATTTGCGGTCATCAATTTTGTCACCAACATATCTTGATTCCATATTATTACTGTTATTGTTCCTATCGACGGTTATTATCTCAACTTCTATCACCATGCTATTTTGTCATCTATTAAGCATGATTGCTTCCATTATCTATTTTTTATCGGTCATCACCACGTAACTTCACCGTAATAATCACATTATAACTATTGTTATTACAGTAATTTCATTGGAATAAATACTACTAATATTCTTCATCAAAATTACTAAATATTTAATTGATCAACTCCCATCCTCGTTTAGCATATCCAACACAACCCAACCCAACCCGAATCTTATTTCGGCTCATCTCAATTCGGGCCAAACCAAAGCAAACCAAACCAAAGCGCACAAAACCAGAGTCCAAATCTGGCTCGATCCAAGGTTCGGCTTGTTTCACCTTAACCCGACCCACTATCGACCCAGTCTAATAATGCGAACACCGTAGCCATAAAGAAATAAATAAATAAATAAAGATTTGCTGATAGTGAAAGTTATAATTAATTGAAATTGAATTCAGTGTTTTGATTAAAAAAACTATAAACTCCTTAAAAATATTACGACTAAGAATGTTTTTTATTATCATTTTTAAATGAATAATAAAAAAAAATATAATATTTTACCTAAAAAATAACAGGATTTGTCAGCCTTTATTTTGAAATACACCAAAATATTTTAAACTTTAATTCAAAATATCTTAACTTATAATAAGGTTAATAATTAAGGTTCATAAGAATTTAAATTTATTAAGACCGAGTTACAATATTCTTAAATATGATTATAATATTTTTTAATTTAGTTGAAAATAAGAATTTTTGTTATTTTTCAATCGGTAATCTCTTTTCTTTTTTCTAAATAGTATCTCCTAATTTAAAAAATACTCCAAATATCCCTTTAAAATTTTTTGCTATATTTTTCACCCCTTTTTTTTTTTATCAGTTTTAGATTGCTACAATATTTTTATTTAGCTTATTTATAGTATTTTCAGTACTTGTAAGTGAAATCATATTATGTTTTTCTTATCATGATTACTCATATATTATTATGATATCATATTTTAAAATTTTTATTTAATTAATTTAATTAATGTTAGGAGTTTATTTGAATCATTTACAATGTTTTCGAATAGGTTTTATAATATTTTTATTATGATGCCCAAAATATTATAATAAACTAATTTTTAATTTTATTCTGATGATGTTATTCCTAAGTCATTATAAATATTTATTTGAATCGATATATCAAATAATTTTTAGTGTGTTTTGATTTTATTTGACTTATTCATATTATTTTTATTATGGTGATCAAAACAATGTAACAAGCAAAAAAATTTCTAGGAATAATTTAGATATTTTTTAAATTAAGTGTATTATTTGAAAAAAAGAAAATTGAGAGATATTGATTGAAAAAGAAATCTAAAATATAAATATTTTCTAAAAAAGTATCTAAAAAATATTATAATTATATTAAAAATATTATAACTAATTTGAATAAGGTGATCTAACTACATTTATCTAGGAAACTCATATTTTTATCATTTTAGGATGTAGAGGCTCTCAGGTATATTTTGGAAAATAAGAGACGCTGTCCATTAGAAACGGGTCTTTTCCGAAATATCGTCTTCAATTTTATATATATATATATATATATATATATATATATATATATAAACGTAAAAAAGAAAGGCGACAAACCAGGACAAGTTTTCCTTGGACGAGAGCGAAGACGCCGGTGACCAAACCCTAAGCCTAGCCTCGCCCTCTTCGCCTCATCGTTAGCTGATCTCTCTTTCCCAGATTCCACCTTCGCACCCTTTCCTTTCTGTGATTCCTGATCTGTTGCGCATTTTTTTCTTGATATTTTCTAGCATTTTTAAAGTTTTTTCGAGAAGAAGAAGGAAAGATGACGGCCGATGTAGAGATGGAGGTCCAGGCGCCGTCCAGTTCTGTACCCTCCGCCACTGTTCCTTCCACTCTTCAACGTGCGAATCCGAGCCAAAAAGAGAAAAGAGATATCTCTGTTCGAATTCCCTACGGTTTATTCGTCTATTTCTGTTATTATTGATGTGGATTTGGTGCAGATTTGAAGGAGATCGCGTCCTTGATCGAGACTGGCGCGCAGGGCAAGGAGGTGCGACGGATCGTGCGGGCTGTGCGCCTGACGATGATGCTTCGCCGAAAGCTCAGGGCGTCTGTGTTGTCCGCGTTCCTCGGCCACGTCCTCCCCTCGGGCTCCGAGGCGTTTGCTAAGCTTTCTTCATTTCTTCCCAAGGTACTATTTCTTCTTCGTCATAGCTTCTTGTGTAAACTTTTCCTTTCTTTCTTCCTGTGGTTAGGCTACAGTGTTGCTGTTGATTTATTCTCTATGAATCCTTGGTCGTCCAATTGTTCGATTAAATTGAACGTGTTATCCCAGCAAAGATTTGGTTGTGCAAATCTGTCTTGCTGTTGATTTATTATCTCTTAGGTTATAATATCTCGACAGTGCCCCAAAAAAGGTGCTCTTGTGTTGTTTGTGTTCCAAGTTTATTCGCATATTCTACATGGGTATAGTCTTAGCCAGAGAAGGGTCGCTGTTGCCCGTCCTAGATAAACCCAGAGTAGGAGATTTTCCATAAGTTTTGGGAGGCACAATTTAGAAGAACCATATTTAAGTTGTAAGGAGGGCTTCGGTCTTCAACTGTTTATTTGTCTGTATAACTATGCACAGGTCTTCTTTCTTTTGTCTTCTGTTTCTTCTTCTGAATTTAAAGGGTCTTGGGATTTGTCACTCTTTGTTGGTATTATTTCTTGTTCCTTATTAAATAAATTCGTAAATGAATATAACACTATCCTATAAATTTTTGTGTTGGTCTTGGTATGCATATACCTATTAATTATTTAAAATTTACTGTACAAGTCTTCATTTCTACTCGCTTAATATTTAATTTGAATATTTTAACTGAACTGTATATGTGATCGCGTATGCTTCTGGGTTTTACATATGTTCTATGTAGTACCTTGACCGCTTGCATACGGAGGCTGCTTTTATATGACTTGCCCTTCTGGTAATGCTTAATTTCAATTTGGAGATATGATCTCTTATGACCTTTTTTCTGTTTCAAATGACACTTGGTTTGCAAAATGCTAACTGCATTGGAGTAGAAAACACCTATCTGCTTTTCAATTAGTAGGAAAATGATGAAAAAGTGTCGATAACTACTCATTTGCTTGTACAAGAGATTTTGTTCTTGTATTCTTATTTTGTATAGATCTCATTAGATAAATATGCTCTGTGATGCATGAAATCCATTCATGATGCATTGAGCGTGACATCTCTATCTCATCAAGAAAGTTTGACCAATTTAGTTGTTTTTTCCTCTTCAAAGGATGATGAGCATGACATGGATGTGGATACAGCAGCATCAGCGGTACAAGGTCCTGCTAAGCATTGTATACCGGAGCTGGAAATTTTTTGCTACTTGATTGTTCTCATATATCTGATTGACCAAAAGAGATACAATGAGGTGACTCTTCATTTCCTTGTTGAAATTGAAGTTATGTCCTTTCTTAAATCTTTCTACACCTGTTGTGTACCAGGCTAAAGCATGTTCTTCTGCTAGCATTGCTCGCTTAAGGAACATAAACCGAAGAACTGTGGATGTTATAGCTTCCCGTTTGTACTTCTATTATTCATTCAGTTATGAACTCACAAATAGTCTTGCTGAGATTCGTGGGTATGTACAATCACCTTATATGTCTTCGTTGCACAATATTTTAGTCGATTTTTATAGGACAGTTGTGAGTTGGATCTTTTTACTGATGTCTTTTAGCTTTGATAACATTATTTTTCCATTAGGACTCTTCTTGCATTGCATAGGATGGCGACCTTACGACATGATGAGTTGGGTCAGGTTTGTTGGTTGTCAAGCAGGAGGGTTGTATACTCTTATGAAAGTTCATACTGGCTAATCATAATGGTTGGTTGCAGGAAACCCTTCTGAACCTTCTACTTCGCAATTATCTCCATTACAACTTGTATGACCAGGCAGAGAAGCTAAGGTCGAAAGCACCACGTTTTGAGGCACACTCGAATCAACAGGTAAAATCTCTAAGAACTTTCTGTTTCAACGTTAAATCTGAACAATTTGCCATAAATTTCATTGTCTTTTCTCTCAGGTTTATATTTTTTTCTTCTTTTAAATAATTCTTGTGAGTTATGACATTTATTTATGTAGCTGTATCACAATGTTTATCATTCTAGAGCATAATGGTTTCCTGGATTCTTTCTGTCGTTTTCCTGTAGTTCTGTCGGTATCTCTTTTACCTTGGAAAAATAAGAACCATTCAGTTGGAATATACTGATGCTAAAGAGAGCCTTCTGCAAGCTGCTCGGAAAGCTCCAGTTGTGGCCCGTGGATTTCAAATCCAGTGCAACAAGTGGGCAGTCATTGTCCGTTTACTTCTTGGCGAGATCCCTGAAAGAACTGTTTTCATGCAGAAAGGCATGAAGAAGGCTTTGACACCATACTTTGAGCTAACTAATGTGAGTTGTCAGTGACTGATAAACATTACTGGATTGCAATCTTAGTTATTGAGATGCTTATTTTTGTGGTTTTAGGCTGTGCGGATTGGAGACTTGGAGCTATTTAAAATTGTTGCAGACAAGTTTTCAGGGACTTTCAGTTCAGACAGGACCCATAATCTGATTGTCAGGCTACGCCACAATGTGATAAGGACTGGACTCCGCAATATTAGCATTGCATACTCTCGGATTTCCCTTGCTGATGTAGCTAGAAAACTGAGATTGGACTCACCGAATCCTGTGGCTGATGCAGAGAGCATAGTAGCCAAAGCCATTAGAGATGGGGCAATAGATGCAACTATAGATCATTCTAACGGATGGGTGGTCTCCAAGGAGACCGGGGATGTCTACTCCACCAATGAACCACAGATTGCATTCAATTCGAGGATTGCCTTCTGCCTCAACATGCATAATGAAGCTGTGAGAGCACTGAGGTTCCCACCAAACTCCAACAAGGAGAAAGAAAGTGAAGAGACGAGGCGGGAGAGGCAACAGCAAGAGCAGGAGCTTGCTAAGCATATTGCAGAGGAAGATGATGATGATTTTTAGTCGTCTTTAAAAAACGTAATTCAGGTTATTATGGGCAGCTCCTACTTTGGAGCTGTTGCAAAAGATTGTGATGATACTCGCAAAAGATTGTGGAATATAAAACTAGTGATGCTGTTGTCTTTGCTTCTTATCAGACCTCGAGGTTTTGGCATCTGTGGTGGTTCGAACTGAACCCTATCGGTAAACTGCTGAATTAATTATTGCATTTTCTTTATCCATGTTGTATTTAGTGATGTATGAACCCTATCAGAAAACTGCTGAATTAATGATTGCATTTTCTTTATCCAACTTGTATTTATGATGCTTTCTGTGGCTGATATGGCGAAGCCATTATGTTATTTTAGGTTGCTTGAAGCAACAGAGGTGGTTTGAACCGAATCCTATTAGGTTGTTTGTTATCCGAGTTGTGTTCGATGATGCATGTTAATTTAGGTTGCCCTATGCAATGCCTATTTCACTTATATAAGGGGTGGCTGTTCCTATGTTGTCTCATTTTGAATTGAAATTGTAGAAAATCTTATGATTAAGGGATTTGAATCCTATAATCAAGGGATTTTATAATCTTATAATTAAAGAAATTTATTTTTTGTTTTAGATCACTCAATGAATATCAAATCAGTCCAAAAAATAAATTAAAATTAAATTATATAGAATCAATTTTTTAGTTATACAGGTTGAAATCACTCTCTCTCTCTCTCTCTCTCTCTCTCTCTCTCTCT